ACAGCACACATTGACGCCTCGATGACGTTGATGGTCAACTTCTCTCATCCAGTGAGGATTTTCTGATGCCCAGTAGTGCATGTTTCTCAAATTAATTTGCCCGCGGTTAGTAAATGTCGCTTCGTCGGTAAATAACACTTTTGGTAAAAAAAATCATCATTTTGCATTTGATGCCAGAACTATTGACAAAATCGAACGCGGTTTTCATAATCCAATCCGTGCAACTCCTGATGAAGTAGGTACTAGGTAGAGATGACGTGAACTGCTACTTGTGAATCACTCGTGATTCGATCACGTTCGTTCCCAATCACGGTGATTTTTCACAGTGATTCGTGATTTCTCGTGATCGTTTCTGATTGGTGGAGAAACCTAACAGTTCTTTACTATAACAATTTTATGAATGTCCTTACTTTGCGAAAAGGACGACATACGTTAGACATAAGAAAAGTTTTTTTTTATGGCATACAAGAAAATGTTTATATACAAAATTGAATTCTTCTTACACAGCAAAAAATATATAGTTTTTATTTTATATTACAATATAACGCAAACAATCTTCACTCATTCAGATCCTTTACAATTTAATTGAGAGTGATACAAAAATAACGTATTCAGACTCTGAATTTCAGAGTCAACCGCGTACTGCGAATGCAATGAAACAATGTGCCTATTCAAGACCATGAACCCGGAAATCTTGGTCGTGTAACTGAACATAGTTTCTGCGCGTGTTCCACATGGTCGTGCCACTGACCCCTGCAACGCGACTCCCCTTGGTATATGACTTGCATGCACAAGAAAAAAGTTTTGGGGCTGCCACGTACTTTTCCACCCCACTGCATTCTTTCCTTCACATTCTTATGGTAGGCAGTACATAATGAAAAAAAGAGGGAATCAGAAGACAGATGGTCTCCATATTACACCCATCTTGCGAAACAGATTATCAAACTTCCGACGGAATTGATTGTTCTAAATTATGTTTCACGTTGTTTCGATTACCGACGGATTCAGAAATAGTAATATTATTTTACAAAATGATAAATTAATTTCATGCAGAAAGCTGAATATCAAAATGAATTTAAATTATAGATATTAATAATTGTTGTCTGCATATCATTTTTGGGATTGTCCGACGGCCTTGAGTTATTTTACACGACAGATTAATCTTATTTCACTAGTTGTAAATTGATATTAACTACTTATACTGCAGAAATACTTTATTGGCTAATATAAGTTCTAATGAATGTGCGTTTGATATACAGGGTGTCCCAAAATAGTTTCGACTCTCGGAAATGAGGAGTTCCTGGAATGATTAGAAATGGTTTTTGTGGTACTTGTGGATATTTCTTTCCATTGATGGTGTTCTACAAGTTGACACTGAATATATTATTAATCCTGATTGATCATTCTACATGTTTGGGAGTACGTAGATGTACTAAATAATACATTCTTTCTGAAAGTTGCAGAAATTAACACGTAACTGTTATTTATTAAATACATCTTAATTCATAATATCGTTATTCTTATTAAGTGAGTTTTTAAGCTCTGAATATATAATTATTAAGAGTACCAATATATTCTAGAATATTGCAAATATGAAATTATCATATTATTAAGCAGATACAATGAAACATTCAAAATAATTTTATTATGAATTAAGCAACACCTTTAAGCTATATGTACACCCAAAAAGAAAGACAAATGATCCGACTGCCAAGATTTTTACCCAAAGTTTTGCCATAACACATTTCTAGAAGTGCCAAGGGAGGCTTCGAAGTGACGAAAAGACGGGTTCCGAAGAGAAAACTGCCCCGTAAAAGAGCGGGGAAAAAGGGATGAGAGTTTGAAGGCTCGGAGAGGGGATCAGAGCATAGTGTACAGTTCCGTGTGCCCAGTGATGCCAGAATAGTGTGGGCTAACCGCGCGAGCGCATACCCTCTCCATGCCTCCCGTGGGTATTTTACACAAGCATATTCTACCCTGTTCGTGAGTCCTGCCCCACTACATCCTACTAGGCGGCTCCCCAACACAAGCGTTTTCTACCTCGCGTCCGTGTGCCCTCTGCTTCGGGTGTTCTCGGCAAAAGTCCTACGTCACACGTTTACGACGCGACGGCCGAGTGGCCCAAGCCAGGTTAAAAATCTCAAATCCCGAGCAACCTAAAGTTTACGTCCTAAACACCGAGAGCTGCATGATTTCCCTCACGTGCTCACGATGAAGACCCCGTCCGAAACCCCAATGAAATCCCGATGCGACGATTTTAGTTTTTATGTTTAATTATTGTATTATTTCATTGTGTAATATGTCAGTAAAATAAAAGATAGAAGAGATAAAAGAGAGAGATGGACGGACTAAGGAAAAGTGTAGAAGAAAGTATAGGAAAAATTTAAAAGCTTTGAGAAGCAAATAGAAATAATGAGGAAGGAATTGAAAGAAGAAAGAGAAGCGAGTGAGGAGGAAATGAAGAAGGAAAGGGTAAAATGGAAAGAAGAGAAGACAAAGTTGTTGAAAAGGATAAGAAGCATAGATCTGGAACATGAGAGAAAAGAAAGAGTGAGAGGGGAAGGAAGAATATAGTAATGAAGGGCGCAGAGCTAGGAGCGGAAAATGATAAAAAGACGGTAGAAGAGTACGTAGAGAGAAACTTGAAAGTAACAACAAAAGTGGAGAAGATCCATGCGATGAGAGGTACGGAGAGGAAAAAAATGGTGGTGATGACATTAGAGAATTGGGAGATGAAGAAGCAGATAATGGTGGGAAAAAGGAATTTACCAGCAGGGATAGGAGGCAAAAGCGGGATACAAGAAAATTAGAGTAGCTGGGAAATGGTATAAGTGGAAGGAAACACAAGAAAGGTTCAAAGAAATGAATGTAAGAGAGAAGAGAAGATAGGGAAGGGAAGAAGGGAAAAGGAGACAGGGGCAGGAATACAGATATGCGTGTGGAGTATAGCGGGGGGTGACAAACAAGGACAAAGAAACATGGAATTACATCAAGAAGTTTAAAATAGTAGGGCTTACGAAACATGGGTGGAAACTGAGAAATGCGAGAAAATAGTAAAAAGATGCATGAAATAGAAAGTATGATGCCAAAAAATTTCGACTGAAGATGCAATACGGCAAGCAGGACGACTGGGCAAGGGAGAGTGAAGAGAGGAATCTGTATTTCTGCCAGCCATCCAATGTTTTCTTTTTTACCATGATAGTTTTGCCTCTCCAATGCACATATCTACTGCTATGCCTAAAAATTCCAACCTTTTTTTGTATATAAATGATATTTCATTGCTTGGAAGCTGTACGTACTACTGTAGGATATTCGGTTTCAAAGAACGGCACTTTCATGGATAATTCTAAACTAAATTGAAATAGTTCAGTGAAAATTAATACTAAATACATATACATTTTGCTGTCACTCGCTTTCGTCAAACTCCGCACGCCTCACCCTCTGTGGCTCTTTCTCAGCCTTCCGACTCACGCACATCACACGAAGGTCCCTTGAGGAACTTTCACCCGTGCGTTCAGCACGGTCCTACCATCCCGCTACAGATTACAAGGAGGTTTTGGGAGACCCAACTCCCCTAACGTGCGACCACCTCATGAGGCCAGGCCTCGAGGTAAAGGTAAACCTCATCGAGTATGGCCTGCTTTAGGGTCCATGTTCCCAGTTACAGATACGTGATTGAAAAATATAGCTATTTTGTGAGTTGTATCGTAAACCAGTTAGTACAAACGACTTCCACGCATGTTTGTCAACATTTATTGTATACATATATTTAGGAAAAAAAACTGTGATGATAAGTAGTCTTTCTTAAAACAGACTTTTTCATTATAGTCTGAAAGTATTTTTGCATAACATAAAATTGAAATCACTAAAACAGTAAAATTTCATAAACGATCAGGTTTCAAAGGCAGAAATACACGAATGGTAGTAACAGATAGTAAGAATATTTTTACATTGGACTTACCACAATTAATTTATTATGCGGAGAAAAGGGCAGGACAATTTAGACAGTTTTCATAGAGATATTGTTATTGATGTTCATTAAAGAAAACAACGTAATGTGATACTGTGTAAACCTGTAATATCTTTTGATCGAATTTTCCAACATAAGTCTATTTTCTTGACACTGAAGTTAACGTCAGCGAGTTTGTTTTAAATCGATTTATGTATTATTAGCCGACGTACCCGCTCTTGCGGGGGCAGCTTAGTTTGTGAATTAAATTTTAGTCCGAAATGGTGGCCCTCGGAATGGTGAAGCTATGTACCGATGCCTATCAGTAAATAAATTGTTTACACGTACATGAAGGAGAGTAGTTCAACTAAAACAGGGAGATTTTTTGGAGTAACTAAGTACGGCTCATTTGCAAGGCATAGTATGGTTTTCCCGTTTCGTCATATCAGCCAATTTAAAAAAAAATTTCAATAATGTCATAAAAAATTCATTTATCTGTCATTTAATCCTCATTTATCCCTGATCACCATTCACTACCAATGATAACCAATCAACTTTCAAAAGTACAAAAAGTTCTACACTATATACTCGTAATAAGTTTTAGCCATAACTTCATTCCCATAACCAACAGGCTTCTATACCAGTTCTGGATATTACGTTATTTATACCCAGAAGTTCAAAGAGATTGAGCCCCTGCTATGGAACATAGCAATGCAATGAATATTCTGGTAAATCTAAAAATTTATATAGCATAAAACAATTCCCGAGAATTGCACTACACGATGAAACAAACCGCATCGAAATTGATCCCGTAGTTCTTGAGTTATAAGCGAGCAAAGGGACAGACACTTTCTTTTATATATGTGTATAATAAGGATAAGGATAATACGTTACATTTAGATACTAACGTCTTAGTTAGTGTCTGAACAGTCAAGATGACGTATAAATTTTGACAAAATTAAAGTGAAATCGTAATTAATTTTAATGAACTTATTTTGAAATCGTCAATTAAATATAAAGTATAATTTCAACGATCTTCTTTCTGTTGCAGATGAACCGTCCTATTCAAGTGAAGCCGGCGGACAGTGAAAACCGCGGAGGTGAGAACAAACAATCTAACCAGTAGATGTGTAATCATCAAATTTCATTAATAAGACTAAATTAAAATCTAAAAATATCTAGAGTTTATTTTTGAATTAATTTTATTATTGACATACTATTTCTATAGCACGTTGTGTATTTAATGCACATATTACATTGTTCAAAAAATTTTAACTTTTTTGATACCTCATAAACGTTAAGAGGCGTTTATAATAGTTCTTTACGAGCTGAATCGAATCTGCAAACCGTTTTTTCCCAGCACGTCCAATTTTTTAAAAAATTAATTTTTGTAAAAATTGCAAATTTTCAAATGTGGAGGTGTTTTGTCCTATTACAGTGCTGGTTCTCAGTTGCTTATGTTACGAAATAATTCTCTGGCTTTTCCAGAACAAAATGATGTAAACTGTTATTATATTACAGACATGTAAATATATTTAAGTAATGATCAAAGTGAAAAGGACACCGAAAACACACCAATCTTTTGTTGATTCTCACAAATTGATTTCAAAATATAAGAGTCTAGGAGAAGATTTAACCATAGCATGCGATGGAGCAGACCATTCTGCTAAAGAAGGTGGCAAGGAAAGTTACAAAATCTGTTTTGTTTTCAATAGAGTAACGAAGTTGTTCAGCAGAACACAAGGCGGCGGTAGTGGTACTCAATGACGGCGTGAGGGTCGTCTTGCCTACGCACATTTAGTGCTTCCGTTATGATGAGTGGCGTTAACGCTTATGAGGTATTTTACGTGTTGAACAGTGTTATTTAACACGTTGAATTCCGGGGGCTTTCGTATGTTTCAGTCACGAAGCCGAAGTGAAATCTTCGTTATCCAGAGTATATAAGAATAAAATATTATCTGCAGGGTGTAACAAAAATGTTGGAGTACCCGGAAATGGAAGACTTTTGAAGTGATTTGAAACAAGTTTTGCCTTAGCAAAAATGTCATCTCAGGCTTTGTTAACGAGATATTAACGAAAAACCCCGACCAATCAGAGCGCGAGTTTGCCAGCCGAGTTCCCGCGGTAATGGTGGCTGCGCGCTGCGATTTGTAGGCTGGCAAACTCGCGCTCTGAATGATCGGAGTTTTTCGTTAATATCTCGGTAACGAAGCCTCAGATTACATTGTTGCTAAGGAAAAACTTGTTCCACTTTACCCCCCGAGTGCCCCAGTTCCGGGTCCGACAACATTTTTGTTACACCCTGTATACATGTTACATGAATTTTCAAATTCGATTATCTTGAAATTGACACATCATAAGGAAAAATGTTCTTTTACATTTTCGACTCATTTTTGTATGTAGAACCAGTCTTGTCTCACGTTCAGAGTCAGATCCAGTGTTTATCTTCACCATGCCATTTGATTGCCTATTTCCATTGCTCTTGGGTTTTTGCGTATGCACAGAGGAAAAAGTAGCATCGTATGAAATTAGTAATCAGGCAAGCAGCTTTGTCCGATCAATTGAGTTTCATCCGTCTGTGGTGTTCTAGGAGACATACCGAAGGAGAAAATCAGGTTACGGGGCGAAACGAGAGAAATGGATTGGGGACGGGAAGGGGGAGGGAGGCGTAATTCATATGCTAATTTAGCGTAGATGCCATTGTAATCTCCGGTCGGGTGTCTCAGTGTAGCCCCACAAAGCCTCAGTTTCACGCAGGTATAGGAACCACGATCTGAAGCTGAACACTATCGCTGTTTACTTCTGCTCATACTGTCTTACATGATATGTCTATAACGTATGGTGATAGACTTTGGTGATAGACTTTGATCATAAAGTTTCTGAACTTAGTTTACGACACGCAACTGTTGTCGCTTCGGTTACAATAGAAATAAAACCGATTGATCGCCTGGAGTTACACAAGAACCCTGCTAATGTATCTGAAACCTGGTATAATAACAAGAGCTGCAGAGTTCGACATTTAAAAATCTTTGTAATGACAGATATAACTTGATCTTTATCTCAACAAGTCTACTGCAACATTTAATATCTAGAAAATTCTTGTAAATAGATGTGCTGTGCAAAAAGTAACTTCTTTAATATTAAATACGGTACAATAAATGTTCGTTCAAAGTTTTTGTCACTTGATTATTTCGGTAATATTTACTAATATAAATCACCATTCGAAAAATACTCTTTTATTGATATTACTGCTGATATAATCGTTAAAGGCCCTTTAAATTGAAAATAACGGATCACCGAGAAGGAAATGATTTCTTATAAATGAAGAAGATAAATAAAGTATTAATTATTATAAATAAATATTTATATTGACAACACATTGTCGGCTTTGAAATTGTGTCGGATATACATACATCCGATTAGCAACTATGTATACAAATAGAAGTACTCGTTGGACCAATCTGGCAATTAACAATAAAATGTATTCGATAGCGTGCGTATTCAACTAATACTCAAATTTGGTCTTGTCGAAGGGAAAGCGTTGTTTGAACCATTTTTTTACGGTTTCCATTGATTCTTGTATGGCATGGCGATTCATCTGGATTATATCATCCAGGACGCACTACCACGTGTAAATTGTGGATTATATGTACAACGTTACAAGTTTGTCAGTTTTTATGTTTTTAAAATGTATTTCATTTAGCCAATCATAATCCAGATTTGGTACAAACTTATCGAATACTTCTTATTGATAGATTAATTTGTACAATAATTAAAGCAACTTGTTGAACGCAATTAATTTTAAACGGAGACTCAACGTCAGTAGTCATAAAATATCTCCCTTGAATAACAATGCTATCAGTCCTTGACAGCGTTCTAAACGTTAGGCAGAATTTTCATTTCTTTATCGAGATACAACAGAGAGAAAGAACGTTCTCGGTGTTACCATTTTACACTTGTAAAGTGGCGATTTGAAATTTCAAAGCCAACGGTTGTTCTTCGTTGTCAGCATACGATCGTGAATAGCTCCTTTGTTTCGTGCAGCACTTTTCATTTCCCTTAGTTAACGGCTTCCCCTTACACGGCTTAATTACCTGAGTTTATAGATTTTCTTATACTATGATAATACTTTACGCGTTGAATAATATCCTATAAATCAACTCTGGGTACTGTTCTATTAGCACTACAAAAGAGAAATCAGATTTTAATTGCAGAATTGAAGTGGTAAACGACGGCCAATGTTCTCGCCATTTGGAACATACCGTTATTGTCCATCCGACCATTTTATTCGCACATTATGCAATCTACAAATTACAACATGACTTTATGTCCTTTATGTAATACACATTCCAGGTAATAATTTAATTATTCATTGGATGAGCTTTTGTTTCACTTGTGTATACTACGTAAAACGAATTATCTATATTAAGCATTGGAACATGTTCTACTGATTCAGATTGATAAAAAGAGTAAATATTAATTCTCGCTGCAATAACAGACGAAAGCATACAGTTGTACCTTCTCGCAAAACAGTTGAAGAGAAAGTGAAAAATAAGCTTCTCGGTCGATTTCTCACGCTTTTCAAGCCTAAGCACGGTTGATTGTCTGACGAAAGCTACCGGAATTAAGTGTACAACGACGGAAACAGATTTGAGAAATGCGTATCTTACACGAAAGTTGCTCAAGCTTAAGGAGTAGGCGAAGTTCCTGCGAGTGGATAAGGGGCTGCTGTACCGGAGCTAGTTGAGCAAGTAGATAAGTTTCGATCCCTCCGCGAGTCACCTTGCCTCCACCGCCATCATTCGCCCTATCATGTTCGGGCAGATAAACGTATCCTGGGATATCGAGACTCTCGAAGGGTGCCTTCATTGCTGGCAACTTTGAGTTGGCTGACGTGACATGAACTGCTTCGGTCCGAAGCTATTGCGAGAAATCCTTGTGGATTATGAGAGAACGACGTGCTTCTTCGTAAGACGAGAGGTGATATCAATAAAACGGCGTGGTATAAAGTTACGTATGGATCGGTAATTGCAATGTATTTAACGAGATTCTCGTCGTTAAGCACGTAAGAATTTACGTAGGATTATACTGTTAACTGACATTTCATTAAAATACTGCCCTCGAATACATTGTATTTAAAACAAAACGAATTCTCGTACAGATAACGATGTTATTAGTGACGTTAGTAAATGCTTCGTGTGACAATGGACGAATTGCAGCAGTAACATTTATCGAATGATAATGATTTGAAAGTCGTATAAGAAATTTTTGTGAGCATAGTGAAAAAATTGTAGAATCATTTCGTTAAAAATATTTCCACAAATGTTGATAAACAAAAGTATTCAACACATTGTGGTAGCATAATCTTAAATACTGCCCTCGAATACATTGTACCTAAAACAAAACGAATTCTCGTACAGATAACGATGTTATTAGTGACGTTAGTAAATGCTTCGTGTGACAATGGACGAATTGCAGCAGTAACATTTATCGAATGATAATGATTTGAAAGTCGTATGAGAAATTTTGGTGAGCATACTGAAAAAATTGTAGAATCATTTCGTTACAAATATTTTCACAAATGTTGATAAACAAGAATATTCGACACATTGTGGTAGTATAATCTCAAATACTGCCCTCGAATACATTGTATCTAAAACAAAGCGAATTCTCCTACAGATAACGATCTTATTAGTGACGTTGGTAAATGTTTTATGTTACAATGGACGAATTGCAGCAGTAACATTTATCGAATGATAATGATTTGAAAGTCGTATGAGAAATTTTGATAAGCATACTGAAAAAATTGTAGAATCATTTCATTAAAAATATTTCTACAAATGTTGATAAACAAAAATATTCGACACATTGTGGAGGTATAATCTCAATGCGTAATGTTCTTGCATATTTATTCCTATGCAGGGTTTGCGTTATTTACAAAATTTTTTGTAGTTTCATGCAACACAAAGGATTCTTCTATAAATAATAGATTTATTCAAAATTTGAATTTTAAATAAGCTTTATTGACAATTATCTTAAACATATATGATCATCTTTCGTTCCATTGTTTGGTGCCGATATTGGGAAAATGAAAAACTGT